TTCCATCACATGGGGAGCTTCCTAAGACAGAGGCTGTCCCCTCCCCCAAAAGGTTGGGAGGGCCCCACGGTGGGGCTGGTTTTCTTCCTTGCTCTGTATGGGACTTCCCACATCCCTAAGCAGAGAGAGGACCCGGGGACCCAGGAGGGTCCCTCCCCATATCCCTCTCTTTCGGGGTGGGGGTGGGGGAGGGGGTCCTATCTCCAGCACCAGCCTGTCCTGCACAGCTGCTGGAGACAGGAGACAGGGCTGCAGCTGGCCAAGACGCTGCTCCCCTGCCCGCCTCTGTGCAGCTTCCATTTAATGAATGCGCTCCCATGTCCACTCACCCACAGCCCCTCCCTGTGCCAGCTGCCTGGGCTTTCGCTGTGTGGAGGACTCAGCCCCAGCCATCGGGGCCTCTCTGTGGCCAAGTCCACCTAATCCTGTTGATTAATTTAACTCTGAGACTAATGGGTTCCAGAGGCGGGGAGAGCATCATTGGGGAAACTGAAGCAAGACGGGGGTGGTGGTATCAGGGCTCTTTGTGAGTGAGCCCCCCTCACTCAGGCTGCTTTGGTCCTGCACCCACCCTCTACCCTTTCTGCAATCATCATCATCATCACCACCATCAGCAGCAGCAGCATCCTTCATGTGGGTGCCCCACTACGGCTCCAGACGATCCCCGCAGTCTTCATGTCATTCTATTCTCCCAGCAGCCCCGTGGGGCCCGCGGGCATGTATCATCATCTTCATCTTCACAACTGGGAAAACCGGGGTCCAGAGGGGAAGCCACTGATCCCAGGCCACACAGTGAGGGAGAGACAGAGCCCAGCATCCGGGTGGCAGGCCTCCCAGACCAGGACTCCTGACTAGACCACAGCTGCCCCAGATGGCCCCCCACTCCCTCCAACCTATCCTTCTTCCCCTTCCTTCTCCAGGAGTGAGCATGGACTTACAGGCTGTGTGGCCTCCATCAAGTTACTGAACCTCTCTGAGCCTTTTCCCCTCTTTGTAAAAGCGCCAGCAGCCCAGACCGGCTGTGGAGCTGGCACAGACCAAGAAGGCTGTTTTCCTGGGCGGGGCCAGGGCAGAGGCCTGGGGTCACACAGTCCAGGTCCCTTCGGCCTCTCTCCATCTCTGGCTAGAGGGACAGAGCCTTGCTCTCTCCACTCAGCAGCCAGGAAGTTGTTATGGCAACCGTCAACATCCTAGAGGAGCCTTTCAACCAAGAGGCCTGAGGGCTCCGCTATGCTTTCCCCAGTCTGGTTTTGGTCTGGGCAGCTCTCTGGGTCCCCAGAGACCCCAGATCTGTGCTGAACAAGGGGTGGGAGGAGCAGGGAGATGAGGAGGAAGGAGACTCAGACTCCACGGTGAGTCTAGAAAGCTGCCCGGAGTTTGGAGGGCCAGGGCATTGGATGCACACGGGGCCCCCGTGGGCACTGAGGCTGGGCAGGGCAGTGTTGGAAGCACCTTGAATGCATCCCGCGGCCGGTCAGTTGCTAACCGCATTCATGCTTTTGGGTACAGCCCCAGGGCCTGTTCTACTATTTCCTTAAAAATTTACTTTATCCGAAAGCACCTTAAACAACAGAAGCCAAGGAAACGAATGCTCTCGTGATTGGAAAATGAGTATCATGTCCTGTACGTCGGTGGGAACCATAAAAACAATGTTGTTAATTCTACTGGAGGCGGGTCATCTCCTTGTTAGAAAGAGAGAACAGCAGTGTTAAATGTGTCCTGCCCTGTGTGTAGCCACCAGCCACACCTGGCTGCGTAAATGTGAATGAAAGTGAAATGAGAGGAAACATTCAGTTCTTCAGTTGCACTAGACACGCGTCCAGTGCTCGCCCCGTGTGGCTGATACCACCTCGTGGAAGCATGCAGGTCCGAGCGTTCCCCCATCGTGGCGTTGCTGGACAGCTGGCTCTGGACAGAACTGAGGCTGAGTCAGACTGGGGGTCTCCGAGGACAGGGCCACCGGTCCTCCTCACTCAGCTCCTGGTCCCCACTGGAGGGGGGAGTCCGGTGCCCCGTTCACCTGCGGGCGGGCATCCTCCCTGCCTGCCTGCCACGCCCTGCTACCTCCTTCGGAGGGCTCCCTCTCCTTGACGCTGTCAGAAAACTGAGGCTACGCAGTGAGTTTCAGGAAACAAATCCTTGCGATTAGTTGTCTTTGGCTCTGAGCCCCAGACGTGCTGGGGAAGGTGCCCCGGCTGCCAGCTGTGCCCACCGTGGCCGCCTCTCAGTGACGGGTTGACAGGCAGCCGGGAAAGGGCGGATGAGGGGGATGGACCCGACCCCAGTCTCTGCCTTCAGGAACGAGGCCGGCCACGATGAAGGGAGGGCTCCGTTGCCTGTGGTTCCCTTATTGTCACAATCAGGGACAGCCTGGCGGTGACCGATCAAAAGCAGGCATGACCGTCCAGTGGCCAGGGCAGCAGGACGGAGGGGGGCACGCAGGTGGAAGGGCACTGCCCCGTGAGAACGCGACCCCTCGTGCCCTTTGACACACCAGGCCTTTGCCCGCGCTCTCCCCTCTGCCTTTCCCTCACCTCCAGGTGACATCTAAGAGGCTGCCTGAGGTTATTGGGGGTGGGGGTGGGGGTGGGGAGGTTGTCCCTTGTGGGGGGACCCTCGGCCTATTCACGGAACCAACATTTGAAGCAATTGGGTTAAGAACGGGTGGAGACGGGACACTATTGCATTTGCT